CTTCGGCCGCGGGTTGGATCAGGTCCTTAAGGCCTTTTTTTTAAGGAAAATCTTAAACCCCTTCCAGCCAATAGGAGAAGGAGAGAGGTAGTGATTAGTAATGATTGGTTAGTGATTAGTAATGATTGGTTAACTACCTACCTAATACGTTAAAGGGTAAGATTGGAATATAGGAAATAATTAAATGATAATATTAATTGTCAACGAATGGTAGAAATCACTTTCCTCCAAACCCTAAACCCATTCCTCTCGTTTCCCGTTTGCTTTGCGGCCGTCGTCGCGTTCTCGTCCTCGTCTGCCGGCCGTCGTCGCGTTCTCCTCCTCGTCTGCCGGCCGTCGTCGCGTTCCACTCCTCGTCTGCCGGCCGTCGTCGCGTTCCACTCCTCGTCTTCCCGGCGTCGTCTCGTCTACTCTTAGTTTGTCGTTCGCGTTCTCCTCCTCGTCTTCCCGGCGTCGTCTTGCCTCGTCTTCTCGTCATCGTCTGTCATTCGCGGCTAAAGTCGTCCGTCCTTCTCGTTCGTTGACTAAGAGTTTCCATGGAATCGCCAAGCCCATGTCCCTTTATGTTTGGTAAGTTTTTTGGTGGGGGATGATTAATAATGCCCTCCTAATTCGTTAATATTTCAGTTGTTTAGTTTAGTAATTGACTTTGCATGTAATCAGGTCATTAATATTTGTTAAATTATTATCAATATCTTCAGACACGACTATTAACTGATAAAATCATTTCTGTAATAATACATGTGTTTTTGGATTAATAATACTTGTGTTTGTTGTTACTAATTGAAGTGTTTATATTAATAATCCACCCTGCACGTAAATTGTTGGTTGGTCGGAATTATTAATTAAAAGGGACATGGTTAATAATTCAATGTGTTTATAAGTTAAAAGTCTTAAGTCGGAGAGGGATGAGTAATAATTAACTTAACTCGAGTGTCAGGTTATTAAGATTTGTAAACCAATTTTCAATATCTTCATGCACGATTATTAACTGCTAAACCCATTTCATTAATAATATTTGTGTTGTTTTATTAATAATTTTTGTGTTTATTGTTATTAATTGAAGTGTTTATACTAATAATCCACCTTCCGGGTAAATTGTTAGTTGTTTTAAGTTATTAATAATTCAATGTGTTTGTAAGTAAAAGTCTTTGGTCGGAGAGGGATGATTAATAATTCATGTGGTAGGTGTTGATAATTAAATGATTTAGGTTAATAGTAAACTTTGCATGATAATTGCATTGTCGATTTAGGTTAATAATACAAGAAGGAAAGATTGATAATGATGTTGATGGTTGTTAATAATTAATCCGAGAGGAATAATTAATAATTCCTTGTGAATTGTTTGAAAGTTAAAGTGTTTAGGTTAATAATCGGAAAAGGTAAGGTTAATAATGAAGCGGGTAGTTAAATGTAATAGTTTTGTTAATTTTTCAACTTTGCAAATCTGAATGAAGTACCTCGTGATGTCAACTTTGAAGGTGAAGATATTTCCAATAACAATGACTTAAGCGAAGTCGAGATTACAGAAGGAAATCTATATGTAGAAGGTCAAGGTTAGTTTACTAATCTTGTATATATGTGGAATGGTAAAACTCGTGCTAGTGACGTGATGTGTTCAATTTTACAGGAGTGGTGGATGATGTTCATACGAATGATGCTAGTGCTATACCAGTCATGGACATTCATGATATTAATATTGATAACATTGGTAAGTCGAATTTATAACAATCTTCTTATTAACAAGTAAATAAATGTGCACCATTATTAACCAATTTCTTGATAATTTGTGTAGAGATTGATTCGGTCGATCCTGCGAATGAATCGACATGGATAGAGCGTAGGTTTGTGTCCAGGGATCATGCAGAGTTATTCTATAAGGAGTATGCACATCACAAAGGCTTTGGCATGAGGAAGGAAGGCGCTCCTAAGAGGAACTCAAAGAATGAATATTCTGAGTCTCCTCACTACATCTATTGTGCATGTACGAAAGGAGGATACAGGAAAAAAAGCGCGAAGAATCCAAAGAACAAAGGACGAATTGATAATACTGTTCGGAAACGGTGTAGGGCAGAGAACAGATGGGGGTGTCAAGCGAGGATAAACTTCAAGTTGGAGAAACGAACCAACCTCTATTACATTGATGATTGGGTAGATGAGCACAATCATGAGATGCACGACCCATCGGCGAAACATCTCCATCGTTCTAACAGGAAGATCACTGAAGCTCAACTTTGTCTTGCTAAAATGAACGAGGCTGCCGGTATAAAAACACGGGCTAGCTATGCTACATTCTGCTTAGCTGCTGGTGGTAGGGAGAATGTTGGATTTCTTCCAAAGGACTTGAAGAATTGCATTAGAACAGTGAGGGCGAAGACAATGGAGTATGGGGTGGCCACATTCCTGTATAGTCACTTCAGCATCTTGATCACTGGGGTTAGGTACAAGTGGATCATTATCAACAGTATCAAAGCGGATGCCAATTTTTTCTCTATTCTCGTTGCCTGCGATACAGTCAAATTGTGGATAATGCTAACAAGGCGTATTATCAATATTTTAAAACCTATTATCAATATTTTTATACACGATGATTAACACGCTATCACAAACGACAATAAATTGATTAATAATATAAAACAAGGATGGCAAATCTAATTATCATAGTTAATAATTATCATAGACAATAAATTGCGGACCTGAGACACACTGCACCTGATTGGTAAGCGATTGTCATCAGCTATAGGTGCATCTGCCTTTTTCTTCATAGGCTTACTAAACGGTGCAGGCTTACGCGTTGTATTCTTCGTACGTGCCATATCGTGGACCACTGTAAAATATTATAAAGAACGTCCACGAAATCATTAATAATACATTCTCCAATAACGATCAATACACAAATAAAATGTTAATAAAATAACATGACTTTGTAGTATTGATAACTATTAATACTCAAAAACCATAACACGAGAAGAATTGATTATGGAGTTCACAAAATTATCACGTTAATTATGACGAGACTAAAAAAAAAATTACCAATGCAATTAAATAATTTACAAAACACGACAGATTCCTTAATAATAAAGAGCAAAAGGTTGAGAGCGAGAACATATTGATTAACAATGTTGTCTAAAACATTGTAAACGGCCAACGAATGATTAATAATAGATAGCAAAGAGGTTCATAACGAGCAGAAATTGATTAACAATGGACACAAAAATTGTCAGCGAGAACAATTGATTATGGTGTTCACAAAATTATCACGTTAATTATGACGAGACTAAAAAAAAATTACCAATGCAATTACATAATTTACATAACACGACAGATTCATTAATAATAAAGAGCAAAAGGTTGAGAGCGAGAACATATTGATTAACAATGTTGACTAAAACATTGTAAACGCCCACCGAATGATTAATAATAGATAGCAAAAAGGTTCATAACGAGCAGAAATTGATTAACAATGGACACAAAAAAATTAAAAATAAATACTATTGTGCACCGACTAATCCTATGCATCGACGCGACGAAAAAATATTTCCCAGATTGATTAACAATCGACACAAATAATTGACTTGCATGACAAATTGATTAATAAATGAAAACAAAAAGTTGAAAACGAACACGTATTAATTAATAATAGAGACACAACACGGTTTCCAAATGCCTACGAAATTATTAATAATAGATGCCAAAAGGTTGATAACGAATGACAATGGACAGAAAAAAATCTGTAAACGTCGACAAAATTATTAATAACAGAAACCAAATAAATTAAAAATGGATCTACCATTGTACAACCCCTACTCCTCCCATGCAACGACAAAACCCTAATCTCATGCATCGCCAAACCCTAATCCCATGCAACATGCAACGCCAAAAACCCTCAAACAAGCCGCCAAAAAAATCTTCGCCAAAAAAATACCTTATCACGCGGCCGCCGAAGATAGGCTGAAACGAGAGAGAGGAAGAACTCGAACAGTCGGCCGGAGAACTCGACCGGACGAGCGTCTTCAACTCTCAACTCACGACCGCCGGACGAGAGAGAGGGCGAACTCGACCGGACGAGAAAGAGGACGGAGAACTCTACTGGAACGCCGGTCAGCGACGACGGAAAACAGAATGGAGCGCCGGACGAGCGTCTTCGATGCAAGCTGATTCCGTCTGTACGATTACAGTGACAACGACCGGATGAGAAAGAGGACGGAGAACTCGACTGGAGCGCCGGTTAGCGACGACGGAGAACAGACTGGAGCGTCGGACGAGCGACTTCGCTTCAAGCTGATTCCGTCTGATTCCGTCTTCGCTTCGCTTCAAGCTCGTGCTTTAGGGACAACGGGAGAAAACGATGGGCTGGTCTTGATCAGGGCGCAGGTATCTGGACGGGACGACGCCGAGTTGGGTCTTGATCAAGTCCTGGACGGAAGGCACGAGGAGGGAGAACGGGAGAAGTTGGGACGGCAAAGAAGTTGGGACGGCAGAGAAGTTGGGACGACGGAGAAGGTGGAACGACGGAGGAATAAGAGAAGACCCGACCAAGACCTACGTACCGTCGGTTTAGGGTTTTTTAAAAAAGGTAGGCTTGTTTTAATTTAATTGTATTCTCCTTAATACCCCTAACAACTTTTTAACTAATAACTCCTACTAACTACCTTATCTTAAATTAGCCAATCACAAGGCTTTAAGTTCTTCCTTAAAAAAGAGGCCTTAAGGACCAGAACTTAGGCCCTTCGGCCGCCTCTTAATAAATCATGAGTTTAATTTTCGTTTTTCATTTTAATTATTATTATTATCATTAATATTTTCTATATTCCTTTCTTGTCCTTCTAGGTAGTTAGTCAATGATTAGTAATATTTTTATCTCTCATCTTCCTATTGGCTGGAATAGGTTTAAGATCTTCCTTAAGTAATGGAGTTTAAGGACCTGATACAACCCGGCTTACCCACTAATTTTTTTTAAACCTTTGTTTCTTCGGCTTTCACAGTTGCACTTGGTAAAAATGACTCATAACCCCAAAAAAAAAAAAATAGAGTTTATAGGCCAATTTCTTCCGGACATATCCACTACGGCTACATCCGCGCGCTTCTCTCTCGCTCTCGCTATTCCTTCTCAGTCACAGCTTCAACTCAAAGCTATGACGGCCCTGCAATTCCAACCAGTAGAACCACCGTCGCCATTTCTAAACTCCAGCTCCAAGCCGAACAAGACGACATGGAAGCATCCACCTTACTCCCCTTCGTATTGCTCTTTCAGACACCTCCCACCTCCTCTTCCTTGCTCCGCGTCGACGCCTGGAGCAGAAGAAGAAACGCCGTCCCGCAACTACGATTCCACCGCCACCAATGGCGGCCGGGCTATCGACGGGCTCGTCGATCGTCGACTGGTGGTTAGATTAGCTTGGGAGAAGCTTCTCCGGTGGTCTCGCTCTTGGCGCTCCAAAAACAAAGCCGACGTCCTCCGTCGCACCAACAAGGCACACTTATCCTTCTTTTCCTCCTTTAATTTTCTCCGTGTGGCTGTGAATTAGGTTGAAATTGAAGCTGTGAGTGGTTGATTAATTGAACGAACAGGTGGTGGTTCTTGGAGGAGGATCGTTTGGTACCGCAATGGCTGCTCATGTGGCTAGTAGGAAGTCCGACTTGGAAGTCCATTTGCTTCTTCGTGACCCTTCCCTCTGTGAATCCATCAATCTCCACCACTGTAATTGGTAATTTCCTTAAGTCACTGATTTCGCTTTTTCCACGGTTGTTCTTGCTTATGATGTGAATTGTTACATTTGATGTTCACAACAGCAAGTACTTCCCTCAACATAAGCTACCAGTCAATGTAAGTGCCACCACAGACCCCAAAGCTGCTCTGATCGGTGCTGACTACTGCTTTCACGCAGTTCCCGTCCAGGTTCCCTTTGCTGTCCTGTGTCATTTTCTGCTTTGCATCATCAAATTCATTATTGAATTGTTTCCATGCAAGTTTCTGAGGGTCAGTTGTAAGATGGTTTCCCTCCATTGCACTAGTATCTTTCCATTGGCAGTGGACTCATTTTGTCTTTTGGGAATGAATTGCAGTTTAGCTCGTTGTTCCTTGAGAGTATTGCAGACTGTGTTGACCCTGGCTTACCGTTCATATCACTCAGTAAAGGGTTGGAGCTTAATACATTGAGGACCATGTCTCAGATTATCCCCAAAGCATTAAAGAATCCTCGACAGCCGTTTGTTGCACTCTCTGGACCTTCTTTTGCACTGGAGTTGATGAATAGATTACCAACGGGTAACTTGACTAGATTTGTTGTATTTTGCAGTAAGACGTAGGGATGTAGTCACTTCTTTTTCTATTTCAGACTGTAGTTCTTTCTTTTGTCCAGCAATGGTGGTGGCTTCAAAGGATAAACGGTTAGCAAATGCTGCTCAGCAACTACTAGCTTCTTCTCATTTACGAATTAGCACGTCGAGGTAGAGACTTCCCTGAACTACTAGCTCATTGGTATGCATTGTGTTGTTGTACCGTCTATTCCCATTAAGTGTGCTATGAATGGCGGTTCCTTTATTGTATTATGATGTTGCTTTTCCTGTTTGAATATGGTATAAATAGTTGAACAAATGGCACAAACTGTTGCAAGTATGAAGTCACGTGGGTGTAAGATTTTAAGGAATGTGTACACCTTAAAATGTTTTTGATAAGTTTATGTTTGTGGTTCAGCATGTAACTTCCTATAACCCCAGTGATGTCACAGGGGTTGAAATTGCAGGGGCGTTGAAAAATGTACTTGCTATAGCGGCTGGTATCGTGGAAGGAATGAATCTTGGTAATAATTCTATGGCAGCTCTAGTTGCTCAAGGCTGTTCTGAGATCCGCTGGCTAGCAACAAAGGTATCTTAGATCTTCGTTGCTCTTCATTAAGCCATTTTTTTGTCAATAGTAATATGTTAGCTGCTTAGCTTGAATTGTTTGAATCCATTTGTGGTAAAAAAAAAAATTATGATAAGCCATATACATGATGAACTTACCTTGTTTGAATTTTGAAAAATTCAGGAGAAACCATATGATTTGACAGGATTTCATTTTTCTGATCAAAGAGCATGTACCTAGCATCTCCATCTTGTCTTTCCTCAAGGTGCTAGCTTTCCGTGGCTTGCATGGGAGATATATTGCAGTCTTGGGAAATGGCCTTTTTTCTTCCATTTGGTGAAATCTTTCATCCTTTGGACAATTCCAGAGCTGACAGTAACATTTTGAATGAATCAATGCAAAAGAAAAGATTTATTTGGTTCTCTCATGCATTCGCTCTCTGGTTTGACAAGCATATGTAGTCTGGAAGCTCTTTCCTTGTAAACTCTTAATGTTGTCTTTGAAAGTAAGTTGGACAAAGGTTATGTTATACTCTGTTTGAAATGAGTTCATGATTGAGCTGAGACACAATGTTCCAATGAGATTTTCAACTGAGGGTCATAAGAAGCACCACTTGCACCATAGAAAGCTGTATGTGCTGTGCTGACAAGTGACTACTTCATAAATAGTTTGTTTACCATATAGTATGTTCAGAATTGGTTGACGATTGTTCAAAAGTTCGTAATCTGACAATTTAACCCTCTCTTTCATGAAGATGGGTGCCAAACCAGCAACAATTACTGGTCTTTCAGGTACAGGAGACATCATGCTCACATGTTTTGTAAGTCTTTCAAGAAACAGGACAGTTGGAGTTCGACTTGGATCAGGGGAGAGTCTGGAATCGATATTGAATTCCATGAATCAGGTGTTTGCAATATTTGCTGCCTACTTTGATAATACTAGAATTTTGGTTTGTGTTTTCCCACTTATTAGTGAACTAACTGAAGGCAGTTTGTTGAATGGTGACAATCTTCTCACATTCAGGTGGCAGAAGGGGTGTCAACAGCAGGCGCAGTGGTTGCATTAGCTCAGAAGTACAAGGTTAAGATGCCGGTTCTGACAGCAGTTGCTCGGATCATTGACAACGAACTGACTCCGCAGAAAGCTGTTCTTGAACTGATGAGCCTTCCTCAGGTAAGAGAGCCCCCTTAATTCATTCATTCTCCTGCCCTTTCATAGTTTAGTAATGGCATGATGTGAGTGAACCCATAAGTAACTTAGGTGGTCATGATAAAAGGTTGAAGAAGTGTGAGGGAGGTTTGGGCAGCTGGCCTCTCGTTCCAAAAGAGTTGATGGCACACAAGCTTAGTGGAGCTGGGTTGCATAATGACAAACTCCACACTAGTAGGTAAGCTTGTTTGATGTTCATATGCGCGTTGAAGAGAATAGAATACTGCAGATTGTTGTTTACTTTCTGCTATCGATCTATGGAATAGTGAATTCTGATATCGCACTCTGCCTTGGCCTCGAAGATATCAATCTGATGGGAGCATATTGGTTCCCTTGTGTTTGTGGCGTTTTGATGCAGGCATGCAATATGAACAAGGCGAGATAACAATGCCTTGCTAGGGGGTCTCGGGTCTACCCTCCAAAACTCCATTCAGAACAGGGAAGGGAACAATTTTTCCTCCATCCATTTCCACTTTCTATAAAAAGAAGAGACGTTAATGTAAATTCATACATCAGTTTTTATATAAAAAGAAGAGACCTCAGTGTCACATATTGCCCCAATTAGAGGGGCAGGAAGCGTGCAGAAGGTTAATGATCATCGTTGATCGTCCCAATCTTATGTAACCTCAGCTTGTGTCGAAGCACGCTTGTATGCAGTCACATCCTTCAAGTACTTAGCAACACTTGCGGCTTCCAGCTTTGGGGCAGAGGTGTAATGTGGACTCTTCGAAGCTGCTTGGCGTTGGCCAACACGAACTTCACCAGCTCCATTTCCACCTGCAAGTCTCCTAGGCTGCTGCTCTGAATGTTGAAGACTTCAAGGCACTCTAAGCAACTGCTATTTTCAGGCTGCAGCTTCGCAGTTTAAGAGGTGAGTTTGTTCGCAGACGGAAGAGTGCAGTGGTCCCAAGTCGGGTAATTGGGCAGAGGAATCCCCTTCCTTTCAGTAGGGCAGGAATCGTCGATAATACCTTTCAGCTTCTCTGCTTCCAACATCTCTATTGCGCTGTCGACCCCAGCTCCCTTCCTGCGTTCGAATCCACTACTCGGCTTCGAATAATCATAGTAATTTGTTAACTGATTGAGTTAGATATGGATGTATACATATTACATACAAAGCAATTGCGAGAACTCATGATTAGACAAACAAGAACACTCGCATCCGTCAAACTAGACAAGTATAGATGAGGTATTTCCAGCACTTCCAAGTGGTGAAGTGAAGCAGAGTCGGAAGCCTGCCTCGGAATTGGATAGAATTAAATATGTATTGGTTCGGGTTTGATTGTCATTCCTAGTCACTACTAGGGTTGGAGATTCGGTTACCGGTTGTTGGTTAACCGACGGTTAAATCGATAACCGACGGTTAGCCAGTTAATCAATAACCGAAAAATAATATGATCGGTTGATGGCCGGATGGGAATTAGCTGTGCCGGTTGACCGAGTAACTGACGGTGAAAATCGTCGATTAACCGGCTAACCGAAACAGCTAACCCCCCTCATTTTTACCTAAAAAACGACGTCGCCCCCCTAAGAGTTCCTAACCCTAAATCCTAATGACCTAATCCATCACTCGACCCGACCTCTCCTGCTTCCCGAATTGCCTCCCACTCCCACCCATCTCGTTCTCTCCTCTTCGTAGGACGAACCAGAGAGGCAGAGACGTTGGAAAAGCGACGTCGCCGCCCGCCCGCCCGCGCCTTCGCTCCGTCACCGCAACGTCACCCCCTCGCCACGACCTTGCCAACTCTGCGGCCTCGCCTCCGCTGATCGCAGTCCTCCCGCGACTTCGCCTCTGTGCGACCTTGCTGCTTCAGACCGGCAACCTCGCCCCTGTCGAGAGCTCCGCCGACACCCCTGCACCGCCATTGAAACTTGACTTTGGGAGTGATTTAGATGTAGAAATGTAGGTTTGAACCTTTAATTTTAGAAAGTTTTAACGATTTTTGTCGTGCAGGACTGTTTCGGTTCGGTTACCGAATGTATTATAACGGTTAGTTCAATCAACCAAACAACTAACCAATAACCGAGGTACTCTACTGGTCGGTGTTCGGTAGGGGCAGCTGGTTGTTCGGTTACCCGATAACCGACCAGTCGGTCACTGATTTTAACCGAACGAACCGAACCTCCACCCCTAGACTCACTAATAGTACATTAGTACATACCACCAAAGCTGGAACGCCACCTAGGCAAAATCCTCCACCTCATACACCATCCCACGTGTCCAAACTCAATAAATAGACCCGACCAACCTATCTGCCCCACCTCCCCCTCTCTTTTCTTCCACTCTCCATTACTTTAATGAACCTAACTAACTCCCTCTATCCCTCTCTCTTCCATTACTCTTCCTTTTTCTTTCTCAAGCTTTCTCTTCTATTCATCTCTCAGGACAAACCCCACGACAAGACTCCACAAAGCAAATAAAAACCCTCCACTCCTTCCCTCTTCCCGGCAACCGTCAAAGCTTCTTCTTGTTCTCCTCCCCTCCGCAACCTCCGGCCACTGCTCCACAATGCAACACTAGCACTTCAACTTCCACCTACTGCATTGTCAACCATTTTCACAACCCGCCACAGAAATCTCCTCTGTTTTCTCCAACTCTCTCTCTAGCTCATTTCAGCCATTGATGAACTCAGCTGCTTTATTCTTTTCTTCTTGTCCTCACCCTCCTCGCCTTTTGTCAAAGCTTCTGGTAGCCGACCTATATAGCTCCTTCACATGAGCCTAGCCGTTTGAGAAACAGGTACAGAACAAAAATACCGGGCCATACTCCATTACCCATCTCCTCGTCATTTCCCCTCTTTCCATCGAGCAAAAAGATTCTCCCTTTTCACATTCCCGTTCCGCGGTTACCTACCCAGTTGGAAATTTCTGGCGGGGCTAATTCAATTCAAACAAAGACTCAATCTTTTTCCTCAAATGGTTTGATTTCTCCACCGCAATGCTGAAGATGGGAAGGCCTCTGTTTCTGCTGCTGCTTCTTCTCGCCTTGGTTGTAAGCTGCTTGGGATCTCTGACCCCGTCCCTCAACGACGACGTACTGGGTCTGATTGTGTTCAAATCCGACCTTCAAGACCCGAAAGGAAAGCTCGCATCTTGGAACCAAGACGACTACAGCCCTTGCGGCTGGGTCGGAGTGAAATGTAGCCCCAGATCTAACCGGGTCACCGAACTCTCTCTCGACGGGTTGTCTCTCTCGGGTCGGATCGGGCGGGGTCTCTTGCAGCTCCAATTTCTCCGTAAGTTAACCCTCTCGAGAAACAACCTCACCGGTTCTTTCCCCACTCAACTCCTCGCCCGCCTCCAGAATCTCACGACCCTCGATTTGAGCGGGAATGCTCTCTCCGGCCCAATTCCCGACGAGTTTTTCGCCCAATGTGGGTCTCTCCGAGCAATTTCTTTGGCTGAAAACAAGTTCTCCGGCAAGATTCCGGCGTCTTTGAGCTCGTGTTCTGCTCTGGTTTCTGTAGACTTCAGCTCCAATCGGCTCTCTGGGTCTCTGCCACCTGGCATTTGGGGCTTGAAGGGGCTGAGGTCGCTTGATTTGTCTGATAATTTGCTCGAGGGCGGAATTCCTTCAGGGATTGAGGCTCTCAACAACTTGCGTGCTGTGAACTTGAGCAAGAATCGATTTACTGGGAAAATTCCCGGCGGGATTGGGAAATGTTTGCTGCTGAGGGCCGTCGATTTCAGCCAGAATTCGCTCTCTGGGTATCTTCCAGGGACAATGCGGAATCTGAGACTCTGTTATTCTCTCAGCGTCTCCGGTAACTCTCTGACTGGTGAAGTTCCGAGCTGGATTGGGGAGCTGAAAAGCATGGAAAGTTTGGATCTTTCTGGGAACAAGCTCTCTGGTCGCATCCCTGCTTCGGTTGGGAATCTTGAGATGCTTAAAGTTTTGAACTTTTCTGGGAATCGTTTAACCGGCGGCCTCCCAGATTCCATATCCAGCTGTGGCAGCCTCTCGACCTTGGATTTTAGCCATAACTCGTTGGGTGGCGGCCTACCAGCGTGGATTTTTGGATCTGGGTCGGAGAAGGTTTTGCACTCGTCGGCGGCGCCAAAGTTGGAGTATTTGGATTTGTCTGACAATGAGTTCTCTGGTGATATTGCTTCCACCATCGATTACCAAAGCAAACTCCTGGTGTTGAATTTGTCTGGGAACTCGCTTACAGGTCCTATACCAGGCGCTATTGGAAAGTTGAAGGAACTGGAAGTTCTAGACTTGTGCACAAATAAGTTGAACGGAAGCATCCCTATGGAGATTGGTGGAGCTATCTCTCTAAACGTTCTTAAACTGGATTCTAATTTCCTCTCTGGCCAGATTCCGAGTTCAATTGGAGACTGCTCGTCACTGACTACACTGTAAGCATTCTCTGCCTCTTCCTTCTATAACTTGCTTTTCTCTCTTCATTGAACTTGTGAGATTTGAGATTTAGAGTTTACCTTTTGGTGCTCCTTACAACTTGACTTGCTGAGGTTGCTGAAAGAAAGATCATTTTTTTTACTCTCTATATGCAGAATCCTTTCTGGGAACATATTGAGTGGACCAATACCATCCTCATTAGGTAAACTCGCCAGCATACAAAATGTGGACTTATCTCTCAACTCTCTCTCTGGCACCTTACCAAAGCAGCTAGCCAACCTTCCTAACATAGCAACATTCAACATTTCCCACAATCGCCTGCAAGGCGAACTACCTTCCGGTGGTTTCTTCAACACCATCTCGCCATCTTCCGTGTCTGGCAATCCATCTCTCTGTGGCGCGGTTGTCAACAGAACTTGCCATACAGTCCTTCCGAAACCCATTGTCCTCAATCCTAATTCCACATCCGAGGAGTCAGCCGATGGCTCAATCCCACAGAACAGTCTCAGTCGCAAGAGAACCATACTCAGCATATCAGCCCTCGTTGCCATTGGTGCAGCAGCTCTGATTGTGGTAGGTGTGATTGCCATCACTGTGCTCAATCTCAGAGTTCAAGCAACTTCCCGATCAGCAGCTGCATTGACAACATACTCTGAGGGTGGTGACGATGATGATTTTAGCCGTTCGCATACTACAGACCCCAAATCTGGCAAGCTCGTCATGTTTTCGGGAGATCCTGACTTCTTCAGTGCTGGAACACATGCTCTTCTCAACAAGGACTGCGAACTTGGGCGTGGAGGGTTTGGAGCAGTGTACCGTACTGTTCTTAGAGATGGTAACCCAGTTGCAATCAAGAAGCTCACCGTGTCGAGCCTTGTAAAGTCCCAAGATGATTTCGAGAGGGAAGTCAAGAAGCTGGGGAAGATTCGCCACCAGAATCTCGTACAATTGGATGGTTACTACTGGACTACATCGCTGCAGCTGCTCATATACGAGTATGTCTCGGGAGGTAGTCTGTACAAGCATCTCCACGACGGTGGTAACCTTCTGTCATGGAATGAGAGGTTCAATCTGATCCTAGGCACCGCGAAAGGGCTAGCACATTTGCACCAATCGAACATCATCCACTACAACATCAAGTCCAGCAATGTACTCATCGATGGCGAAACAGGCGAGCCTAAAGTGGGGGACTTTGGGCTGGCGAGGTTGCTTCCAATGCTGGACCGCTACGTGTTGAGCAGCAAGATCCAGAGCGCGCTTGGATACATGGCGCCTGAGTTTGCTTGCAGAACGGTGAAGATCACCGAGAAGTGCGATGTGTACGGATTTGGAGTTCTGATTCTGGAGATAGTCACCGGGAGGAAGCCCGTGGAGTACATGGAAGACGATGTCGTGGTGCTTTGTGACATGGTGAGAGGAGCATTGGAGGAAGGAAAAGTGGAAGAGTGCATCGACGAGAAGCTTCAAGGTGCATTTCCAGCAGATGAGGCGATTCCGGTTATGAAACTGGGCTTGATATGTACTTCGCAAGTGCCATCGAACCGACCCGACATGGGGGAGGTGGTTAACATATTGGAGCTGATCAGATGTCCATCAGAAGGCCAACAGGATTAATCAAGGTTTGAGATTATGATGACAATAGGAATAACTAGGTGGGTAATTAGATTATGATTTATCATGAGTTATTATCCGGGGAAGACGAATCCGGCTTTGTTACTGCATTGATCCATGAATGTGTGAGAATTTGGGTAGAGGGTTAATGTGCAATGCTTGAAATTCTGGTGTTCTGAAGGCCTCCTGTTAGATTGATCGCCGGATTCTTCTTCACCGGGTCCCAACATTTTCTGGGACCCTTTGTTGCAACAAGTGACTGTCAGTATTCCCTCATTTTCTTCTTTGTAACCAGCAGAAGT